GTATCCGAAGCAGAACCGGTACCGAAAAATGTCGTGGTGGATATTGAGGAAGACAAGCAAAACCGAGCCGATTCAACGGGTAAATAACTGAGGCGACTCCGTTATATCATGGATGATAGTAAAACAAGGAATTTTTCTTCATATGAAAAAACATTTTGAAAAGTAACCTCAAATATGTACAAACAATACAAAACCAATCAATACGCATCTAAAACACACACTAGCGGTGAGTGCTAAGCATAAAACTTATTAAAACACAGTCTATAAAATAGAGTAGGGGAAATGTGGGATGAAAACTTGGGAGAAATAGGGGCGGGCGTATGTCACGACTGGTAGACGCCATTACGGCGTATACACACGAATTTACACAATACCGCACTAAATCAGAAACTACCGTATTTGAAACTGCTGAAATGGAAACTGGGGGCATTAATGAAATTAAAGAGCATATGTGGCTTGTAAAAGGCACTTTGTGACAACGCAGAACTGAACTAGAACATGGTACAACGTCTCTGAGGCGAAAGCAACCGAATTTAACTGGATAAAACGTAATCAAGTCATATCATATGATAACAGTCAACAACTAGGATTATTAACGTGCACATTCCCTTTCCTTTATGAGGGCGATTAATAATGTGAGATGACTCTTATATAACACTTTAACAGCTATGTTTGACATAGCAGACAGATAGCAGAAAATTTCGACATTAGGTAGATAACCGCAGCGAGAACACGCTCGCAGGAACACCCCGCCCTAGTAGAGGAAAAGTAATGTGCACCTCATGTGAAGTAGGCTGGAAAGGCTGTGCGTATTATTTCAACAAAGAAGGTACTTTGGGGTGGATCACCGGTTGGAACCGGAGAATCAAGGGCAATAATGAACGAGATAGAATAGCAAAAAAAAACACTAAGATTTCAAAGAAACGCTTCAACTGAACTACTAGGAACACTTGTCGCTCACTTATGACGTGGTCGGTTTCGTGGGCGGACCGTTTGGTAGCCGTCGTTCTTCACCGAATCGCGCTCACTCGACTCGCCGCCATCGTCAGACGCGAGTCGCGGTGTTGTGTCGCGTCGTGTCGCCTGGCCACGCTCGCCATTCCGTTTATAGTAGGTGGTTGGGTAGGGTTTGCGTGACGCTGGTCCACTTCGCGAGCTTCTCATGGTGCCGTTCACGAAGCCCGACTGAGGATGAGGCGCAGGGGATGCAGTACCGCCTGGTGAAGAATGGTTGGCGACTGGTTTACGGCGCATGCCATTCCCGCCAGCGACCAGAGGTTTCGTCCCGCGGCCGGAGGCGCTGTCTCGCGACACCGACGCGGCCCGTTCGGCCTTGTAGTACTGCTGGTTATGGAATACGCGGCCATGGGCGCTGGCTGTGACATGGTTGCTGACTGGCTGTGCTTGTTTAGCGCTCGGCAACGGCGGTGTCTTGTTCTCACTCGGCGACGGGGTCGATCTTTTGTCGCTGCGACATTGCCATTCTTTTTGTCCATGTCATCGATCGATTGCTTGGATTTCGAGCGACTTGTAGTGCCAGCGACTATGGCAGCCAAAGTTGTCGGCTTTTCACCATTTCTAGGCTCTGCTTTCGCGTCTACGTCTTCACCATTCTTCGCATTACCATTCAAGCCGGAACGTTTTCCAACCTGAAGCACTATTATTATCGGCAACTCAGGATGACCAGCACACGATTGTTCGGGGCAGCTATCCTACCTTTTCAATGACAGCTTCCGACGAGTCACTCTTCACCGATGCCGTCGTTGATCGATCAGTATCGTCAATTTGCCCATTGACGACGGGGCCGGCAGCATCTGAAGCTGAGCTTGACGTGCACGTCATTTCACTGCCATTCTCATGCGACGGCGACGTGGCAGCCGTCGTCGACGACATTCGCTCGAGATCTCGCGGATCCACGATTTCCAGCGGCCTCGAGCTGCGTGGCAGTGACATTATGTATTGCTGTAGTGCACACTTCGCCAAATCGATCGACTGAAATTTTCGAAAATTAAAACCAATAGGATAGTTCTTGAGAATCGAACTTACCGGTGCCAGCAGCGTGTTGCACACCACCGTCGATGGTGGTAGTTCTGGCTCTTTGTATTCGAGGACGAAACTCTGAAGAAATAAAACGTTTAGAAACCAGCTTATCGATTTATCCGTTACCCCTTACCTTCAGCCAGTTCCTGTACTGCAGTTGCTCCTGGGTGAACGGCATTATCAACGACATCATACTACCTTTATAGAAACGCCGCCAATCGGCACCACAACGTCGGTCACGAATGAAAACGCCTTTGAGGATCTAAACAGTCAGCAACTCAATTCATACAGCTAACTATTAATCCCGTTATTTCATTATAACACTACTGAATCCAGAAAAAGGGAGCTCTAGATTAAAATTGCGAACTAACTAAATGTAAACTAAACCCCATTATTTAACACACTCCCAAACAAACAAACAAAC